ACACAGATTTTATGTTATTATTTTTCTGTCCTAACTTTAGCCATCCTAGTTAGTGTTAAGTGCTACAAAACAGTGTTTCACAGGATTTTACTGTATAATTAATGAAAATCAAGGTACTCAAGATGAAAGGATTATAGATCTGTACTATATTCATGCCTTTAAGATGCTCTCTACATGCAGTGAGCAAAGGTGTGGTTTTAAGATGAGTACAAATGAAAAGTATTAGAACGGATAATTTAATTGTATATAACTTAATCTGTCGTCTTAATCTTTTTATTATGATTAGCCCTCACATTTTTTTTAAAAAAATGAAGGCAGTAAACTTAATCTCTAAGACTTTTATGTTTTTTTTTCCGATGAACTTCTGAACAAAGCAACTTTGAGATGAATATTTAACTGGATAGGATTCTAATGAACACACTAGATTATTAAGTTTAAAAAAAAGATGATCAGATTCATTTTATAACTTAATTAGATAGTAGGAAGAGTATTTTATTTGGAATTAGATAGACCTTAATGTTGGTCTTACCACTTACTAAGCGTCACCTTGATCTAGTTAACTTCCCTAAAGCTCAGTTTTTTCATCTTAAAGGGAAGATAATAGAGAGAAGTCTCAGGAGAAATTCTCTAGAGAATGAAGGAGAAAGAGTGTGTTTGAGAGAAAAAATAATGAGTTCAGTCTTTATCAGACTAAATTTGAAGTGCTACAGAAAAGTTTAGATGTGTAAATTTGCATTGATTAGTTTAAGACTAGAGATTTTTCAGTGTATTAAGACCAGGTTATTAACAAAACTTGATAAAATGGTATTTCAACTATACCATTCATAAACTAATAGCAGGATATGTTTCTCACAACATTTTGTGAACACTGTTCTCTTCCCACAGTGGCTCCTAGGAGTGCCCCTCCTAGGGTGTCTTCTCCACCAACACTGGCCTCCCCTGCTGCTCTCATGTCCCTCTAATGACCACTACTCACCCTTGGACCCCCACCCACCTGTGTCAACTCTTTTATGGCCTACAGGATGAACAGTCAGCTCAAAAATAGTCTGGCCCATACTTTCTGCCTGGTGTTCTGTTCCTTTCCCCTCATTCCTTTATGAGTGATTCCAGTCAGGTCACAACTTTATATCTCATTAGATCCTGTGTATGCATGATGTAACTAAAACTATAGTGAAGAGTAACTAGAAACTTCTTGAGATATATTTTTAGTTACCTTTCTGTTCCCAAGGACAAATTTTCCAAGAATGTGAAAGATGTCTTCCATTTCACACAAAATTTAAATCAAGTTAGAAGATCTTATTTAGCAAATAATCTTGAGACTGAAAGTTTAGAGAAGAAGGCTTGTAATTCAAATATAAACTAGAGCTCCATGTGGTCCAGTCTGTGTATAGTGTCATTTTGAAGATACACTCAAGTCAGGTTGTTTTCAGGCTCTCAAGCAAATGCAAGGGGTAGGAGAGTGAATTTTTAATATGTTGCAGATATCTTTAACATCCTTTCTCCACTGCTGCTTTTCTCAGCAAGCATCCCCCACACCAGCAGTAACTGCCTGCTGCCCTCCCCCGCCACTCTGCAGTTCTCTTTTTCCCCCTCTCCACTCTCTTTCAGAAGTCTTCAGATGACTAATCCCTGCAAGGTAGGCCCTTTGTCCACCTCTCAGCCTACATTCCTGGATTTCTGTTTCTACAGCTGGAGCAACCAAAAGCTCCATTCAGTCTTGAGAGGAAAAGAATGGAATCCCCAGAAAAATACAGTTTTCTCACTTTGCCTTTCTAGGCAGAAATCCTTGTAGAGGAATTTTTATAAATTCTCCATCTCTCTACAGACACAGTTATAAAGAAGCCATTTGGGCTTTTTTTTTTTACACATAGATTAATGTGTAAATTGGAAGATTATATAGGCATAATATATGCACATGAGTATATATTTGAAGATACTTGTCTTGCTAATTATTTTGCACTGTAAGTTTTTTTTCCCTATAAATTCACATATCACATGGTGCCAAGCTTTTAATATCATATAATGAATGCTTTAAAAATGTGGTTGGTCAATTTACTGACAGAGAACTCAGTGTTACAAGTTTAGGGAAAAGTGTTTTCTTTTCTTTTCTTTTCTTTTCTTTTCTTTTCTTTTTTTTTTTTTTTTTTTTGGTATCCTTTCAAAATATACACAGAGTAACCAGTCCAGACTTTATGCAAGATTCTGCCCAAATAAATTTCTATAGACAAAGAATTTTTCCACATCATTGTATAAAACTTTTGTTGTTTCATTTGAGTTGCCTCCTTAGATGGTCATCTGAAAATGATTATATATTTAATGACTCTTAAGTGTTTATTCTCAAGGGTCACAGAAAAAATATCTGTCATAAATGCTACAGTAAATGCATTTTTCATAATATAAATAAGATAAAAGTAAGTGTAGCCTTCACTTTTAAACACAGTATACTGGACTTAAAACTAAAACATATTTCAGCACTGGATTGTGTTCAGAAGGGATCATTTTCTTCTGTTGAAGTTTCATGCATTTCTGTTACATTTCCAGGGTTAAACTGCTTATTACTAATACTGAGACAAAATGGTTTCTTCAGAAACTTGGGAAATAATAAACAACCTCGTTTAGAGAGCACTTTGGCCTGGATTTGATCCATGAACTTATGGATATGAAGCCACTTGGTGTGTTTAAGATCTCGAGGATCCTTTCAAGGGAAATTGTTTGGATTATGTACACTATGGTGTGTTTGCCTCTTGCAAAGTTTGGTTTGAAGTAGTTGGGACAAGACTGTGAACAAATCCCTGAGAATCGTAGAGCTGGAAAGGAACTCAAAAGGTCCTTCTCCTCAGCCCTTGTATCCAAGGAGAAGAATTTGCGAATCATTCAAGGCAGATGGTTGCTGATCCTGTTTTTGTGACACATCCAAGCGTGGGAGTCCTGATTGTGCCAAAGTGACTGTTTAAGAAGAAAGCACCCAACATTCTTGTTTTCCTATCACATTTTAAAACTTAGAAAATGTGAGCTACTATGGGAGAGGGACCCAGTCTGGTTCTTGAGTGGTTGACATGCGAGGCGGTTGCCTACGACATTTCAAAATCTGGAAGATTTTTTTGTGCTCACATCATTCTTATATTTAGTTGAGTTTAGTTTTTTTTTTTAAATCATAGTGTTACTCTCTTAACATTATCTGAGTTACTTTATACCAGCAGTTGCAAAATTCAAAATTCCTTAGAGGGCAGGCAGCTAATCTGAAGTAAACCAATGAAGGCAATATGGGAGTGGTGGTTTCTGTGCCTGAACTGGGGAGCAGAGGTCCCAGAGGCTAAGATCATTCAGATTGACTTAAAAAAAAAAAAGATAGCACTGTACAAACAAAATGCTCTGTTGGCTGAACTTGGCCTGTGAGTTTATTTGTGGCCCTGATCCAGTGTGCCCAGTGGACCCACAGGCACTTATAAAAAGCTTTAAATGATTATCCCAAGAGTATCAATTACCACTTAATCTACATTTGCTGTTTTATTTTTCTGACAAAAACATATTTTGAATGTATAAGTTAATTATATTTAATCTAGATACTCTTGCCTTGGACATTCCTTTCCAAAAAATAACTAATGATTTGTTTAGGTCAGCTAAGGTTAGTCATGTAACCCACTTTATTCCTGTATCAGGATTTACAGCTGAATCAATACATCATACAAGTGAATCTTTAAATCATCTTAGAATGATCTTGCCAGAACATGCTTTTACAAGGGATGTTGTCTGAACCAGGGGAACTAAACTTGCATGTCTTTAACCAGGACTTCCGTGACATACCTCAAGGGGGCGTGATTCACAGTATCCACATGCATGACGGAGCCCTCACTGTGCAGCTGTGGGGGAGCAGTGGCATTCGTGTGGACCACACTGCAAATGGTACCCTGTTACCATGCAGTGATGCAGCCCTGCCCTCAGGTCTCAGCTGGTATACATTTGAGAAGTTACTGAGTTTAAGACCATAGGGAGTTTGGGGATTGTGGCAAACTGGAGAAGACACGTCCCACATAAAGGCATTCACATTTAGATAAGTTTAAACATTCCTAAAGGCAGAATTCGCTGCTACCTTGAGACCGCTTGTCTAAACTGTGGTGCAAAAGATGTTTTTCAGATCACTCAAGGAATCTGCATTAGTTAGGACTCTTTTGGTTGCATACAATAGAATTCCAACTCAAATAGAAGAGAGGATTTCCTGACTCACGTAACTGGGTTAGCTAAGGGAACTGAAGAGAGGGGGACGGTGCTACAAAAATCAGAGTTGTCACTGTTTGAACTAGGTACATGACCAGGCCAAGATTCCTTCTCCACCTGTCTTACCCGTGCTTAGCCCTGCTTCCCTGTGCAGGAGGGCAGAGGACACAGCCTCTGGCAGCTATGGTTCAAGGATCCCTGCAAAAAGAAAGCTTTTTTCCTTTCAAAATTCATATGGAACAGACTTCTGTTTACTCTTCTTGAGGCATGTCATCAGCCTCTTAGAAGAGTAGCTGTTGCAGACTGGGCAGGCATTGTGGGGACCGTGGTGGAGTGTGGTGGTATGATCGGTCAGGCCTGAGTCTTGTGCCCCACACACTTGCCAGTTCCTCATGAGCTTGAAGACGGGAGTGGAGTGTGGGGAGGGGGTAAGGGTGGGGCTACCACCAGAAGAAGAGGTAACTAAGAAAGTTTGCTGGGCAGAAAAATTTAGCTCTCTAAGTGTACTGCCTTCTCAAGTTTCCCCAAAGGGTAGATCCCCTCACTTTTTTTCTCCCTCCTTCTCCTTTATAACAAAGGGATGCCCAATGACCAAAATTTGCTAGAAATTTTGCAAGTTGTTTGCTCATTTGGCTTAACAGATGGGAAGATTATTTTTATTTATGGCAAAACTGTTGTGTTAATTATGAGTTGCTACTGTTTTTGGTTCAAATTCTTCTTAAAAATTCAAGCTGCTGAATTACGCATCAGAAATATTCTGGAAGTGAAACAATTGAGTCACTTACTCTAGTTTCTGTAAAAGACAGTGGGCTGCCCCGGAAAGCTGCTTGAGGCTACTTCGGAGGGACTTTATTCTAGGAAGAGGGCAGCAGTGGACAGAAATGAACTGTTCTGAGAATAAAAAAACAAATTAAAATTAGGGAATTTCAGCTACTTGGGCTCTTAGAATTGCGTGAAAGGCAAGATGAAGTACTATATAGGGGCCTTAATTTTGATAATTCTGGTCCAGATTAGTCTTATTGACATAAAGATTTTTAGCCAAATTAAACATAAATATGGTACAATTTCTATTTGGTTAATAAATTCTGTTCTTAGTACTCACTGGTTTATATGTGTTTTCTTGTAAACTAATTTGATTTGTTCTTATAAAAGATTTTTTTAAATTATGAATATATATTTTCCTGGGATTATTAATTTTTTTCAGGTCCAACTGCATGGTCTTTTAAGGTCCCACCTCACTTGCCCCTCTGCCCTCAAAAATGAAGGCAGCCCCACCCAGAGTCTGAGTCCACCCTGCTCCTGGATCAAACAGCTGTTTAAGCAGAGTTCAGATATCTATTTTTCAGAAATACCTTAGAAGGGATTCTTCTGTTGGACAAAAAGTAGTTAGAAAATCTCTAACGACACCGATTTTCCAACTCTGGTTATCTCCTCAAATTTGAGGGACTATAGTACCATTTATTTGGTTCAGGGAACTAAATTATCATCACAGTGATAATTTGTTGTTGGTTACTTTGATGTAGATGCCGTATAAGGAGATTCTTACAGCCTCCTCATCTAGTTCAACAAAATGAAGTCTCACTTTATGCAGACACTTCTAGACAGTCATCTTCTATTTGGGGTCTAGTTAAACAAATAAAGAGTAATGAAAGTGAAAAACTAAAGTGGTTTGTATTTTTCTAGTGTGTGTGTGGAATAATATTCCAGTTTATAATCCGCAAGAGGGAGAAGCTGTCTTTCTGTTTCATTCATGCAAATATTAAAATGTAAGAAATGACAATATCTTAGCTTTGTAATTTAAATTTCTAGGCAAAATGCATTTTTCAAAAGGAAGGAAAAGATTTCTGCAATGGAGCTTTCATCTGATCATCAAACTCTGGTTTATAGAGCGTTGATTTATTTACATAAATCAGGACTGTCTCTAGCTCAGATGAATTAGGCAGTAGCCTGCATTTTTTGTTAGTTTAGGAAGCTCAGTAATATTTCTTACCAGAAATGTGTATACCATTGTTCATTGCTGAAATTTATCATTTGCTTTTCGTTACTTTTATTAATTACTATTTTCTTTTTCTGTGTTTTAAAAATACTACTACCAAGGTGTTAAAACACATCTAGTTACTAACAACTTGGAATAGATTCTTCCTTACTATTTTATTGTTACAAGAGCCTCATTGAGATATTATTCATATACCCCAAATTTCACTTTAAAGTATACAATTTAGTAGTTTTTAGTACAAATCTGCAACCACCAATCACCATTATCTAATTTTATAACATTTTCATCATTCCCAAAAAGAAGCCCCATACCACACCCATTAGCCGTCACTCCCCAGATGCCTTACTCCCAGCTCTGGCAACCACTAATCTGCTTTCTATCTCTTTGGATTTGCTCATGTTAGATATTTTATATAAATGGAATCCTACAATATATGACCTTTTATAACTGGCTTTATCACTTAATGTAATCATATCCCATGGTACGAATATGACACATTTTGTTTATCCACTCATCAGTTTGGGTTATTTTCACTTCTTGGCCATGTGAATAATTCTACTATAAACATTTTTACAAATTTTTTTGTGGATGTGTTTTCCATTCTGCTGGGCTATACCTAGGAGTGGAATTGCTGGGTCATATGGTAACTTTATGTTTATATTTTGAGGAACTGCAAAACTTTTTCAGAACACCTGCACCCTTAACATTGCCACCAGAAATGTATCAGGAATCCAACTTCTCCACATCCTCACAACACTTGTAATTATCTTAATTTTCAGCTCCAGAATTTCTATTTGGTTCCTTTTTAAGTTATTTCTATCTTTTTATTCATAGTCTTTTTTATGTGAGATACTATTCTCATGTATTTTAAAATTCTTTAAACATGCTTTACTTTTGTTTTTTGAACGTATTTGCAGTAACTCACTTAAATTCTTTATCTAGATAGTAAGCCATACTACCGCTTGAGGATTGGGCTTCCTCAAGGATGGTTTCTATGTAACATTTTATATCTTGTCTATGGGAAATATGTTCCTATTTCTTTGTGTGTCTCAAAAAATTTTATTGTAAAACTGGGCATTTTAAGTGATGTAATATGACAGCTCCGGAAATCAGATTCCCACCCTCCCCAGGGTCTGTTATTGTTACTTGTTACTGTTGTTGTTGCTGCTGCTTATTTTGTTGTTGTTGTTTAGTGAATTTTCTGGACTAATTCTGTAAAAGAGAATTACCGTATGATCTGGCAATCCCACTTGTGGGTATACAGTCAGCCTTCAGTATCCCTGGGGCATTCATTCCAGGATCCCTCGCATTTACCAAAGTCTGTAAATGCTCAAGTCCCATAGTTGGTTTCCTGTATCTGTTGGTTTCAAATCTGTCGCTTCAGCCAACCTCATGTGGAAATTTTGATCCACAGTTGGTTGAATCTGCAGGTGTGAAACCTGTGAATACAGAGGGCCAACTTTATTTATTGAAAAAAAAAACTACATAAAAGTGGACCTGCACAGTTCTAACCCAAGTTGTTCAAGGGTCAACTGTATATCCAAAGGAAATGAAATCACTATCTGCACTCCCAAGGCAATTGCCAAGACATAGGAAAACTTAAGTGTTCATGTATGGATGAATGGCTAAGGATGTGGTGTATATATGTATGTATGTATATATATATATATATATATATATATATATATATATACCACATATATATATGCAATGGACTATTATTCAGCTATAAAAAAGAAGGAAATCCTGCCTTTTGTGACAACATGGATGGACCTTGAGAGCATTGTGCTAGGTGAAATAAGTCAGAGAAAGACAAATACTGTATATTCTCACTTATATGTGGAAACTGAAAAAACAAACCCATAGAAATAGAGAGTAGAATAGTGGCTACCTGGGGCTGGGGGGTAGGAAAAATGAGATGTTGGCCAGAGTATAAACTTACAGTTATAAGATGAATAAGTTCTGGGGAATCTAATATACAGCACAATGACTATAGTTAACAGTACTATATTACATACTTTTAAGTTGTTAAGAGAGTAAATCTTAAATGTTATCACCACAAAAAAGTTAATCATTGGAGGCAAGGGATGTGTTGATGGATGTGTTAACTAAACTTATTGTAGTAATCATTTCACAATGTATACATGCATCAAATCATCACATTGTATGTTACATGTAATATTATATTACATTATATGTCAATTATATCTCAGGAAAGCTGGGGAAAAAGAGACATTAGGCAGAAACTAAGCAGTATTTGTATAGAGTTTGTAATAATATTTCAATATTGGTTCATAATTATGACCAATGTACAATACTGGTGTAAGATATTAACAATAGGGGAAGCTAGGTGTAGGGTATATGTGAACTATACTCTCTGTACTATCTTTGCAACTTTTCTGTAAATATAAAAAGATCAACTACATTGCCCCTTGAGCAATGTGGGGTTTGGGGCACCAATCCTCCTTGAAGCTGAAAATCGAAGTATAACTTTATAGTCAGCCCCCCAATCTGAGGTTCTGCATCTGAGGCGTCAACCGAGGATCGTGTAGTACTGTAGTACATATTTAGTGGAAAAATATCCACTCATGAGTGGACCATACTGTTCAAATACTTATTGTTCAAGGGTCAATTGTAGTCTAAAATAAAAAATTTATTGAAATAAAAAAAGAAAATATTTAAGTTGAGTGAATCCCATTTGAGTTATAGGTCCTTTCTTAAAGAAAAGGATTGATGTGCTGAGACTCCTGGGTAAAAAAGGTAATTTCTAGCTACATAGCCACATATATAGATATTTCTATAAATGTCTTTTCAGTAGTGTTGAATCAGATTGCTATTGGAATACCTGCCATTTAATACAAATGAATTTAGCCATTTTGGTATTAAAAGTGTGCCATTTCTTTATGCAGTGTTCTGGCAGGTTACAATGGTACCATCTTTGCATATGGACAAACAAGCAGTGGTAAGACATTCACCATCACAGGTGGGGCAGAACGCTACAGTGACAGAGGCATTATCCCAAGGACGCTGTCATACATTTTTGAGCAATTACAAAAGGTATGAAATCTGAAGTTCATTTTATGTTTAATATATTCAGCATAAATTTACTGTGGGTGGAAAATTCATTGTGACATTTTATTATATTGTATCTAAATGGGGAAATACTGTGTAATAACTCTGGCCTTTACATTTAAGGAAAGTTTGGGATTTTACTGAAGCGGTGGAAATCAAGAAGATGCTTCTCATTAAAGGCATTTTACTTCAGCAAAGGCTCAAAGGGAGTTCCTTCTGATACACTCATGGAGGTTAAAGAACAGATAATACATTTCACCAACTAATATCTGATATTACCCATTAAAAACTTGAAGAATGTCCTTTTGCCAAAATGGACCTTTATTTTAGCTACTAAGGCACTGAGTAGGATAATGTGGTTGTACCTTTTTCACACTTTTAATAGAAGCCCAGAGAAATTTACCATAGTAAAAATCCTATTGTAATTAATTTATTATAAGGAGAAATTCTCTATGTATATTATATACCTCATTTATTGTGTGGTTTCAAATACCCATTACCTTATCAGTATTTAACACAACTAACAATATAGGGATCTTTATCCCCATTTTATAATTGGGAAAACTGAGTCCTGAGTTAAATACCTTTCTCCGGGTCCTTATAAGTTGCTGACCTGGAAGTCCATTCCAGGCTGTGTAATGCCAAACTGCTTTTTTTTACCACTACATACCCTGCCTCTGTATCTCAGACTGGCTTTATTTTGTTGGTTGTGTTTGAACAAATTCTACATGAGTCACTTTGCTTCTCTGGATTTCAGTTCTCCCCTCTGTGAAAGTAGTGATTGAACTGTGCTAGAGGATTTCCAACATTCCTACTAGTTTCAACAATTCTTTGGTTGTATTACTTTTGTGTAACGAATGTCCTAACTAGGTCAGTATAACAGTCTTTCCAAAATTTCTTGACTGTATGCTGCTTGCATTTTGAGCTGCAAAGATGAGAAGAAATTGCTGAGATCTGCATAACTCTAATTTCCACCCATAAAGTAGCAATTACCCATTAGTTCAGCTCATCTCTCACTAGCCCAAACATGCCAGCTCTGCATGCCAGAAAATTTGGAAGAGAAAGGGTTGAGTATAGTGTATATGTTGGATCCGAATCCTTTCTTTTCATTTACTCATTTATTTCTGACATCAACTGTTTTGTTTTGTTCCCTGATTTTGCAAATAAAATTTCTAATAGTTTTTGTTGCTGTGAGATCATTAAGTTGGTGCAGGGCGACCTGGTTCTGAGAAAGTGCACTGCTTATGTCATGCGGCTTTGGGCAGTTACTTAATGTCTCAGGCTTGTGGAGTTGCTGTGAGAGTTAAATATACTGTATATAAAGATATTGCCCAGTTCCTGGCAGATAGTAGATGCTTGAAACATGATAGTTACCATAGCCATTTATATATATATCATGCATATATATATGCATGTGGCCAAATGATTCCTGACCAGTTTCAAAGAACCCTTTGAAACTCAGAACAAATGAAGCAAATTCCCCTGATTAAGTTAAACAGAATAAACACATTCTTTTTAATAGAAAATATATTTGTCTCTTAAAATTTTGTCTGTGGTTATCAAAATACAGTTTTAAAAGTCTAAATGTCTCCCAAGGACCTACCATCTGTTGGGTTCATTGTTTTGTATCTGTTATTGACATTACTTTAAACCCCATCTCATTCTGAATGATTCTAAATAACTTCCTGGACTAGGAGAGCCCATTGGACCAATTTATAGCCAGGACAACTCCTTGTAAACACGATGGGGTGCAACACGTGCATTATAATCTAACTGAATTGTGGTGCAGCAAGTTAGAGGCAACTTGCCATTCTTCATAAAGTTTGTCCTCATTATATAGCTGAAAAATGCAGACAGGTACTCAGATGCCCCCAGCTGATTGCTTTAGAATGCTGTGTGGTGTGCTCCAGAATCCTTCAAGGAAACATTTGACTTATGCAAAGTATTTATTTCAAGATAAACTAAGAGCTAGTGCCTACTGGGTCCTAAAAATGCCTGTGAGTGTGACAGAAGCACATTTGCAAAGATTTTAAAGGAGGAAAATTGATTCCATTTATTTTAGAAATCACTGCTCATTATTTTTGAGTATTGCGAGATTCATACTTGTTTGGGGGCAGGAGAGAAGGCTGTCTGCAGGAAACATGTGTGTTACATTACAGTCTGGCAATCCTGAACAGTAAAAATGGAGTAATAAGGAAAGGTAGCTGCCACATAGCTCAGTGAATTTTAAGTGTGTGTTCCAATAAAAGCCCAGAAAATGCAGAAGCTGGAGGAGCCAAAGGCATTATCCCTATCATCTCAGGGCAATGGACTTGCCATTTGCCTGACTTTTTATTATTTCTTTTCGTTTCTAAAAAAAGAGAGTTTCTCCACAGCAGATGAACGTACAAGTTAGCTGTTCTTTTTGCTTTGCTTTTCCTTTCCTTTTACATTCACATTGTCTATGTGGTGACTTTTAGAAGTAATAACAAAAATAATAACAACAGCAATAAAAAACATGCAGCAGTAGTAGCAGCAATGATTCATTGGTGCCTATTAGCAGGCCACACATTTTTAGTAGGATTTAAAATACAGAACCTATTTCTCTGTGACAACAGTTCTGCAAGATAAGAGTTATTATCCCCAGTTTCACGATTGAACAACTGAGGATAAGGATGCAGGATCACTCGGTTATAAAGGCAGATCCAGTATTCAAATCCAGTTTTGTCTGATGCTGAGATGAACTCATAAATGTATGCTAAAATCTCAAACCATCATCTATGGGATATTTCAGATAAATCTTAGAAATATGTTGTTTTAAACAGGATCTCAAGATGTTGCTGAATGGTCCACTGTGAGCTTTAACTTGCCTGGAGAATCTTTCAGACACGCATAGTGTGTATGTTGCTCATGGAACACTTTTTTTCCACAAATATCTTAAGTAATATTTTAGGAAACACTGGATTAGACTAGAGACCACTCAGAGCCTGTCTGGTATTTGTAGTCCCTGATACCTGCACTAATCCAAGCTGCAACCCACCAAATTATGTTGATACGATGCTTTTACTAAAGGAGGATATTAACATAATTGATAGACGGATTGTCAGCGTGAGCTACCAAAGTCACCCACATCAACAGGATTTCCAGCATTTGATTGGGAGAAACTGATTAGTAGAGATTCAGTCCATGCTGTCACGTTCACAGAACACCAGAACATGGAATTTCAGCTGTAGCTTCAGTGTTTTACTATAGTCATGTGCTGGCTGAGGGCTGCCTTAATTTTTCATGTGTTATTTCATTTTTATGAAATGATAGTATCTTTATTTGGATAGTCTGAGCCATTTTAGGACCAGAGAATCTTATTAATTTTGATTAATTTAAGGAGAATTAATTAATCTTAATCTGAAGAACACATAGGGACCCACTATGCAACTTTCTCACTTTTAAAGGTGTAGAAACTAAGGCCTGACATGGTAGAGGCTCAGAGCTAGTAGGACTAGGAGTTCAGCCTTAGATTTGCAGGCTGCTGTTCTCTCCCCATCTCTGTGACTTGGTCCTCTCGTTTTTTGAATTAACACCTGTCAAATGGATTGTCTTGGATATGGGTGAGAATCCTTTCTGTGAATATCCATTATGACAATCTGCCTCCTTTCTCTTATGAGAAGCAGGACTATAATTTTGCAGAAATGGAAGCATTGATATTTTGGGAGAAACAAGAAGTGTTATTATTTGATATTTTGTATTGAAAACTGAGCTTAGCATTTTCTCAAGGCTGGAAAAAAAATCCGTTTCATTCCATGTCAGAGGGAGTAGATCCTTTTTGTCTTTTATCCTAATTACCCTGATGCCTGTATCATTGCATTTCAGCAGTGACCCACAGAAAATACCTCTCCCTAACCAATAGCTGAATACCCCTAATTTGCCACTTGGGCTAGGAAAGTTGCTAAGGTATAGGTAGTGAACTGTTAATGTCCACTCTTATTATTACCTGATTGATCTAAACTATTTCTGTTCCCTGGAATTCACTTTTCATATCTATTTATTGTCTGTTATCTATTTGTTATTGGATATTTGAATGTTAGAAAAATTAAAAAGGAATTATGATTAAAGATGGACACTTTTTGCCACTGAAGTTTTTAAACTGAAGTAACAATTCTGTGTTCTTTTTTTTCTTTCGGTCTGGAAAGTAAAAAATGGTGTGTTATACAGTTCTGCAACTAAGTTTGCTCATTTTAAGTGTATATTGATTTTTTATGTATAACGTGGAACCAATAAAAAATAACAGACTAAAGTTGCTTGAAATCATGGGTGTTGCCCTTTTTAAAAAAAAAAAAGTTCATGCATATGGTAACTGGCAACTTGAAAGTGTCACGAACTGAAAATGTAAACCATACAAAGTGAGAGAGTAAAGGAGAGAAACTGTAAGGAAAGTAGTGATAAATGAGTTCATCTTTCTCTAAGCTGAATCGTTATTTATAGCCATTTAATAGTGTCTTTCTCTTTTCCAATCAGGACAGCAGCAAAATATATACAACGCACATTTCCTATTTGGAAATCTACAATGAATGTGGTTATGATCTATTGGATCCAAGACATGAAGCCTCCACTTTGGAAGATTTGCCGTGAGTAGCAGAACAACAAAGAATAGGGGAAAATTACTTTCAGATGTTCCCTTCAATTGTTTTCTTTGAAACTTTGTATGTTTCTGGTCTCAATCATAATTAGCAAATTCTGGATAACAGAATCCTTTTGTAATATAATGGATTTTTTTTCAGTTATGACAAATAGACAGTAGTGATGGGAATGAAAATGCTTGAAACTCATTTCTTGAGACAGTCTCTTTTGGAGCTGGTACAAGAGAATGCAGTGGATGTCCTTGGAGAGTGGGTGCTGAGAGGATTGATGGGGTATGACAGTACGACTTACTCTCGCCACACAAAACCCTTCTGCTCCTCTAATTGTGGCCTTTCTCTGAAGAAGGTATTCAAATTAGGGTTCAAGCAGCAATAAGAGAATCTGAAAGAGAGAAAAATAAAACTTTGTTTCCCCCAAATTCTTCTCTACTATTTTTAAGACTAACATTGACACACACTTGGTCAGATTGGCACTGATTGTTTCATGACTGAACTATAAATAGAGCCTTCAGAGCTTATCTAGTAATGGGTAACTTACTCTGCAAGCATTTATATAACATTTCTCTCTGTTTGTTTGAATGTTTGCCTAAATTAGACATATATTAACTGGTAACAATTCATATACTTTTGTCTAGTCATCTTCAGAATGTTGGTAAAGCCAATAAAATGTATTTTAATATTTTTTATTAAATATTCTAAAATAATTTTAAAATACAGGTTAATCCTCTACCAAAAAGATCAACAACCAGTAGCTTATTTTAATTTGCAAAGGAAACAAGAAGAGATAATAAAGAAAATATGTGATACTCTTTACATGACCTTTATATGCATTCTTCCTTTAATGTTGATTAAAATTTTTACATATCACCTCATGGTAACAATACTTACTAGAGGGAGCTAGGAAAGGGAATTATTGTTAGCACCCTTAATATTTGTGTAAGAATTAGAAGAAAGGAAAGACTACTGACTCCTTGGAAGAAATTGGTTTTAACGAAACTATTGCAATTAGTTTTACAAAATGGTAAAGCTTTCCTCATAGAAAGGATAGAAACAACAACGCTAAAGACAGAAAGGCCATGTGTTGAGGAGTCATGTGAAGTAAAAGCAGAAAGGCCACCTGAAGCCAGCTTTTGAGGGATTTGAATGACAGGCTTTTGGTGTGAGATTGATTTTTATTCTAATAGATTTCTTAACTAGTTTTCTAGCCTCCAGTCTAATCTATATACCACTAGGCTAACTCTTACTTAAAATTATTTTTAACAAGTCACATCTACACCAAAGAGCTTGAAACCTGCTTAGTAATAATCCAGAAATGAAGGGCTTGGCTATGATGAACATGGAGGAGATAAATCAGAGATTTCTAGTGTCCTGTTAGGAAAGAGCCTTTAAGCCACTTGAGAACAAGGACAGTGTCTTACTTCACTCTGTGTCTCTGCATTTCCTAGCATGCCTGGCATTTAGTAGTGGTTCTCAATGCTGGTCAGATAGTCTGTATAGATGGTGCTAGTTTTCTGTCTTAAATTGTTTCTCCCTCTTTAGTAGCTTTGTCCTCTTGTTGGAGAATTTCACTGACTCAAGTCAGAAGTGCCCTCAGTCACGAAACAGATGTTTTCAATGAGCTACCACACACATACACATACAAAAGTGGTCTGAGAGATTTTCTTCACATTTTGGACTATAATTACATGACAACAAATCTCATCAAAATAAAAATGAGAAGATTCTCATTAAGAAAGAAGATTCCCATATCCCAGTACTGTAGTCTGTTTACTTCAAAATATATTCAATACTTTAAAATTCCAAAACATCTCAAGAGCTGCATAGTCTTTTGGTGTGTGGATAATGGGATTTGACTTGTATAGAATCTGCTAGTTTTCTGGGGATTTTAGAGGATTTGCCTTTTGCTAAGATTATAAAGTAATTCTTTATAATGGAATGTGACTTTGGCTGTACCTGGATTGGATTAAGGGCACTGGTAATCTGGTTTCACACACTCTTGAGCTGGGACAGGCTCTAACTCTGAAATCCTGTCTGTCTGATTGGCTGGTTTCATTGTTGTGAGTGGGAATGTCCCCAAACTCTCTGAATACCATCCAAAAATAGTAGGCAAAATGTCTGTTGACCTTGGTTCTCTCCTGCAGTCATCCATTTGAGAGATAATGACAGTGTACACTTTTGATCCCTTCCACATCCTTGTACTTGGCTTAACCACGTAAAATCGAATGCGAGGTCATTTTGATATTGCTCAGTATTAGCTGTCAGTAATAGGTTGCTAACCACTGAGCAACCCAGCTTCCCCCAAATGGTTTGGTGGATGCTCTTCTCACATGTATTCTGCCTTTTCTGTTTCTCTTCCTTTTACATTCTAATGAGTTCCATCTCTCTGCTCTTGCAGAAGCATTTGCCTGTAGACTACCTATGGACTTTGTATATATGCTGTCAGGGTACCAGACTAAAGTCAATAGCTTTTTGCAAATATTACTATAGTCACTTATTTGGCAATGAGGTTTTAGATATAATATCAAAAGCATGATCTGTGAAAGAAAAAAACAGATAAGTTGAATTCATGAAAATTAAAAACTTGTACTTTCTGAAAGACACTGTCAATAGAATAAAAGGACAAGCCAGAAACTCAGAGAAAACATTTACCAAACACATATCTGATAAAAGACTTGTATCCAAAACCAAAGAACTCTTACAAGTTAACAATAAGAAAACAGAAAACTCAGTTAAGAAATGAGAAAAAGTTCTGGGCAGACATCTTGCCAAAGAAGACATATAGAAGGTAAGTGAGCATGTGAAAAGATGCTCAGCATCATCTGTCATTGGTGAATTGCTAGTTAAAACAACAAGATGCAACTACACACCTATTAAAATGGCTAAAAAAAAAACACACACAAAAACTGGCAACACCAAATGCTGACAAGAATGTAGAGTGAATTCTCATTCATTGCTGGTGGGAATGCAAAATGGTGCAGCCCCTTTGGAAGACAGTTTCCAATTTCTTACAGAACTAAGCATAGTCTTACCATAAGATCCAACAATCACATTCCTAGATATTTAACCAAATGACTGGAAAAAACCTACCCACAAATGGATATAGCAGCCTATTCATAATTGCCAAAAACTGGAAGCAACCAAGATATCCCTCACCAGGCAATGGAAAACAAACTGTGGTACATCCATGCAGTGGAATATTATTTGGCAATAAAAAGAAATGAGCTAATAAACCACAAAAGTATATAGAGAAACCTTAAATATGTATGCTAAGTACAAAAGCCAGTATGAAAAGACTACATATTCTTTGATTCCAACTGTGTGACATTCTGGAAGAGGCAGAACTATAGGTACAGTGGAAAAATCAGTGGTTGCCAGTGGTTGCGGAAGGGTAAGGTAGATGGATGAATAGGTGAAGCACAGAGAATTTTTCTGAACAGTGAAACTGTTGTGTGTGATACTGTAGTGGTGGGTACATATCTTTATGCATTTGTTAAAACCTATAGAATTTACAACACACAGGGTGAACCCTAATGTAAACTATGGACCTTTAGTTGATAAAACAACAATAACAAAAAGGAATGAACTGTTGATACACTTAGCAACTCGGATGAATCTCTAAGGAATTATGCTGAGGGAAAAAAACCAATCCCAAAAGTTTATATGCTATGTGATTTCATTCCTGTAGTGTTCATTAAGTGGCATAATTATAGAAGTAGATGGCAGATGAGTGGTTGACAGCAGTTGGGCAGGGAAACGAGGATGGTTATATGAGGGATGCTCATGGTGATGGACTCTTCTTTATCTTGACTGTGGCTGTTGATAGACAACTCTCAAAATGCATCAGACTAAACTCACAAACACACACACACACACACACACACACGTGAATGTAAGTAAAACCAGGACATCTGAATAAGATCAGTGGATTGTATCAATGCCAATTTCCTGGTTGTGATATTTTAATATTGTTTTACAAGCTGTTACCATTGGGAAAAACTGGGTAATGGGTACATGGGATCTCTCTGCATCATTTCTTACAGCTGCATGTAAATCTACACTTAACACAAAATTAGAATTTTAATATAAAAAGTAAGTGGCCATATTCTTATATTTAGACATACATGCATATACACACATATGTGTGTTAGAGCTATTCTGTAATTAGTAATTTAAATGAAAATAGAACTTCTACTTTTGAAAGCCCCTTATGTCATATGATGTAAAGGGAATATAATTAGAATCTAAGTATGTCTTATGAAGTAAAACAGTATAACTGCTGGTCTTAACCATAGGGAAAATAGTCACCTACTTTAGTGTAATTTTAGTATTCCTAAATAGGGATGCATAGTCCATTTAAGGTTCCAAAGACAGTCATGGTTATTACTGTTAAAAAAAAAAGTCAGTAAACTAGTGTCCAGTATTGAAATCTTGGCAATGTTGTGTTTTTTAAATAATTTGTCATCAAAGGAAAAAGTTGACAGACGTTAAATTTAATTCACCACATTTCTAGTATCTAGTGAATATAAAACACTGCTAAGTGCCACAGGAGTTAAAAAAAAAGTGTCTGACTTTATGGCTTACAGTCTTGTCATGTGGGATCACTCATGTATTCAGCAAACATTTGTTGAGATCCAACTTGGTTCCACACACTATGCTGGGCACCAAGTGTACTGACAGTCTTTGCTTTCCTGGAACTCACAGCACAGTGGATAAAAATAGTACAAAACAGTACAACGTGGAATATGAAAATTGTAAGAGAGGTGCAAAGAAGACAAGGGCTTAAAGGAGAAAGAAATCACAGCAGGTCAAGTGATCAGAAAAAGACTCATAGAGAAGGTGGTGCATGAAACAGTCCTTGAGGGAAGGGGTGGGAAGTGGGAAGGTGGAATGGGGCATTCATGTAGAAACAGAGATAGGGAAGTTGCAACGCATAGAGCTTGTTCTGTGACAGTTAATAGACTTGTTCATCTGGAACCCAGCAAGGGAGC